TGGCGCCTTAGCCGGTTGAGCTATAGGCGCCGAGCCTGTATTTTTAATTTTTTATAGCAATTGCCACTTAACAGAAAGGGTACCCCACTTTTTCATGCCAGCCAGTATTATTTTCTTTAATTTTCACTAATCTGGTAAATTGAAAAAATATTATCCTTTAAAAAGTAAATGTAAAGTACTATATTTATGTTAGTGGTAAGATATTCACAGCATGTAAGCATAAGAATTAATAGAAAGAACCCTGGCCATTAATCTGCTGGTTTACTGCTGAGTTTATAGGACTCAGATTCTCAATAGCATAAAACAATAATTATTACATATAATTTCTATGGATAATTCTAATCTGTTTAGTCAAAGACTAATAAAAATAGAATGAGTACGGTTATGATGGGTGTTTCCAAAGTGGGAACCAAATCTCAAAAGAACTGGGATACCAGTCAGGTGTGGAAGAAGGGTGAGGTGGCACTGTCACCACCAGGCTAGGGCCACATTCGTGCACATTTTCAGACTAAAGTCCTTGACTGATCTATCTCAGTGCCTCCTCAGAGAAAGCATGAGAATGAAAACTGGTCAGTCTAAGGACAAGATTCTTGGTCAGTGTTCATTAGTGGTAACGTCCCCATGAAGTGATGTATCTGGAAAGGGAAAATGCAAAGACATCCAGAGCCAAGTTCTAGCCTCTTTCACTAGTCTGTCCTCACCAAGGCCTCACTGATAGTGTTTAAGTTAAAAAAAAGAATAATGAAGGGAACTCATCATGATGTAACAGTAGGAAAATAACTTGTCACAGGAGGAGAAGCTGGATTACTCGTAGAGAAAAATGGAGAAGTCACTGGTAAATTAACACTAACTGGATGGTTATCAAGAAGAAAGGTACTTCTTTGAACACAGCTAAGGCCTTGCATAAGCAACAGCATGATAAGCTTATTTTATCTGATTAAAAACTAATTTAAAAATCAATGTGAATTACTGTACTGATAGGGAAACAAGATACTAGAGTCATTTATACTAGAGTCATTTAGGCTGTACATATTTCATTTTTTTCAAATCTTCACTGTTCTAAATTCAACCTATTTATATTTTAGCTATAAATCAAGTTTAATCTTGAGAAAACACAGTATCATGGCACACTTTTAAAAAGACTGTAATTTAAGGCTGGGCACGGTGGCTCACGTCTATAATCCCAGCACTTTGGGAGGCCAAGGTGGGTGAATTGCCTGAGCTCATGAGTTTGAGACCAGCCTGAGCTACATCAAGACCCTGTCTCTGAAAGTAGATATCACAACAGGCGCGCTACTCAGGAGGCTGAGGCAAGGGAATCGCTTGAACCCAAGAGTTAGAGCTTGCTGTAAGCTACCACTCTACTGGGGGTGACAAAGTGAGACTCTGTCTCAAAACTAATAATAATAAAAGAACACTAGGCACCCGTAGCTCAGTTGTTAGGGTGCCAGCCACATACACTGGGGCTGGCAGCTCTGAACCCAGCCCAGGCCTGCTGAACAATGACAACTACAAAAAAATAGCTAGGGGCCTGTAGTCCCAGCTACTTGGGAGGCTGAGGCAACAGAATTGCTTAAGCCAAGAGTTTGAGGTTGCTGTGAGCTATGATGCCACAGAACTCTACCAAGGGGACATAAAATAATAATAAAAATAAAGAGACTTAATTTTTCTCTTGGGTGAAAGTTCAAGGTAGGTTATATTGATTTAATTTGCTGACACAAAAGTATTTATTTTCTGAATAAAACTAATTCAGTTCCAGTCGCACACAATTTTTTTTTAAGTTCTAAAGATTTTCAAAGAAAACCATTTCAGTATGTCCATTAAAATATCTGATAATCGTTTCTACAGGGACTCCTGCAGAATATAAGGAAAGTCATAAATGTCCCAATAATTCGGTTCACGTGGCTGTGCTTCCTCTTTTATGAAAGTATAATAAGACAGATCCCAAGTTCAGTGTAACAGTCTCTTAGAAAACAGCTCTAGCCTTGGGGAGTTCCTCTGAAAGGCTAAGCCATTCAAGCTCTCAGATGTCTGTTTAAAAATAAAATTATAGGGCAGCGCCTGTGGCTTAAAGGAGTGGGGCGCTGGCCCCATATGCCGGAGGTGGTGGGTTCAAACCCAGCCCTGGCCAAAAACTGCAAAAAAAAAAAAAATTATAAGCAGGGGATTCTGATTTTACCAAATTGTTGTCAGGATAAGCTGATAAAGTTACAGGAGACCTGAACTTTTTGGAGGATGGGAGAGAGATACTAGCACGAAATGATGGTATTTTAGACTGTAAAAGACTCTTGAAAACCTGTAAGGTCCACACTTTCAGGTATGAATTAAAAGCTTTCAGTTCAACCAACTCACACATAGGCTAGTGATTCAGGAGTATAAATAAAGAAGGTTCATCATCAGACAGTAGTGGGGAGGGGAATGTGCTCACCTGGCAGTTGTTTCTCTAGGACTTTCTGTTCAAGTTGATTAGGGCATTTTATCTTCAGTGCTTTAAGGAAAAAAGGAAAAAGACTAATGGATGCCTATTATAATAAAACATAAATTAAATGTGCAAGTTAACTGGAATTGCCAAATGATAACAGCTATTCAATATAGCTCACCCTAATTAAAGAGCAGGCCTTACAGGCCAGGTGCAGTGGCTCACACCTGTAATCCTAGCACTCTGGGAGGCCAAGGTGGATGGATTGCCTGAGCTCACGGGTTTGATACCAGCCTCAGCCAGAGAGAGACCCCCCCCCCATCTCTGAAAATAGCCAACCACTGTGGTGGGCACCTATAGTCCCAGCTACTTGGGAGGCTGAGGCAAGAGAATCACTTAAGCCCAGGAGTTTGAGGTTGCTGTGAGCTATGGTGCCACACCATTCTACTGAGGACAACAAACTGAAACTCTCGAAAAAAAGGTCTTAGCCATATGCTATGGCTCACACCTCTAATCCTAGCATTCTGAAAGGTTGAGGCAGGAGGTTCTCTTAAGCTCAGGAGTTCAAGACCAGCCTAAGCAAGAGCAAGACCCTGTCTCTATTAAAAAGCAGAAAAATTAGGGTGGTACCCGTAGCTCAGGGGGTAGGGTGCCGGCCATGTACACTGAGGGTGGTGGGTTCGAACCCAGCCTGGAACAGCTAAAACAATGACAACTGCAACAAAAAATACAGCCATGCATTGTGGCAGGCACCTGTAGTCCCAGCTACTTGAGAGGCTGAGGCAAAAGAATCGCTTAAGCCCAAGAGTTGGAAGTTGCTGTGAGCTGTGATGCCATGGCACTCAACCAAGGGCAACATAGTGAGACTCTTGTCTCCACAAAAAAAAGAAAAAAAATTAGCTGGGTGTTGTGACATGTGCCTGGAGTCTCAGCTGCTCCAGAGGCTGAGGCAAGAGGATCATTTGAGCCGAGGAATTTGAAGTTGCTTTCAGTTAGGCTGGTACCATGGCATTCTAGCCTGGGCAACAGAGTGAGATGCCTCAAAATAAAGAATGAACGAACAAACAGGTCTTACCGTGTGGGACCAACATGGTTCCCTTTTCCCCCTTAGTACTTCTTTCCTGACAATTTAACTAGGTTTTCAAGGGTAAAAGTCACAAATTTGCAAATCACAGTTCAGTTCGTAACTCAAATACCTCCCACATTTATTAACACTGTGAAATGAGTTTAAAGCATGACAGCTGCAAAACTGTTCAATGTAAGAATTAAGAAATACTTCAGAATTCACCAGTTCTTTAGAGCTTAAGACACTTAGGTACCTTAACACACTTAATCCCTATAAGGCAGTAAGGACTGGAACACAAGCTGTATTTGAATTTGGGATTCTTACTTAGTAGGTGGTTTTTGAGCATAAATGGTTGTTGTACTTTGAGTTCCTCATCTTCAGGTGCACCATATTCTGTTTAAGAAGAAATAAAAAGGGATGAATGATAAACCAAAAGGTCGCTCGCTATAAGAAAAAAAAAAAAAGTAGGTAAGTGTGCACACAACCTTTTTCCTCTTCCAAGATAAACCTGGCAACACCTGGCAGGCCACACTGGGATCAGCTTCCTTTTATTCAGTTTGATTTTTAGGAGAGATGGACACCAAGCACTCCTAAGAGCAGACTTCCATCTCCCCCAGAGTTGCAGATCCTTCATAGATAAATGACCAGTGAAACCCAACAAAAGGAAGTAAGTGGAAAGCCACACATTACATGTACTTATAAACACATTATTTCTTAGGGACTGACAACATCCTGGCTCAAACTAGCAAGATCAGGCTGTTTTGAGATTCCGCAAACATGTATTCCGAGTTTCACCTTTTGTAAAAGTTCCCTTTTTTCCTGGGTCCTGAGAAATTCTGGTGCTTTTTCAGTCACCTGTGCAAGTTTTTTTTTTTTTTTTTGAGACAAAGTCTGACTTTGTCACCCCTGGTAGTGTGCCGTGGCATCATAGATCACAGCAACCTCAAACTCCTGGGTTTGAGCAATTCTCTTACCTCATCCTCCCAAGTAGCTGCCTACAGGTACTCGCCACAATGCCTGGCTATTTTGAAGAGATGAGGTATTGCTCTGGCTCAGGTTGGTCTCAAGCCTGTGAGCTCAGGCTATTCACCCATTTCAGCCTCCCAAGTGCTGAGATTACAGGCATGAGCCACCACGCCTGGCCACCTTTGTTTTAACCAGATCTTTCAGTGCCTGGTTGGTGCTGTCAGTGCCACCTCTACAAACCAGCTCCTTGGCCTGAGACACAGCCTCCGTCTTAGGGCAGTGGGAAAGCAGTACTATTCTCCGGTAAGCTAACCAGTGACAACATTTCCCTAAATATTCCCAAGTATCTATGCTTTTGTCTAATTGTGTTCTTAGAAGTGAAATGTTGAATCATACCTGTCTGGTTGCCTTAGAAACCCTCCTTGCCCACTCCGCAAGTAACTTAGAATTCACCAAGAGTGGCCAGAAATTGGGCCTAATGGAGTAATTTGAAAGTGATTCTAACAGGCAACTTTTCCTCCTCAAAGATACTGTTCAAGCCTGAAGCTTTTATGCAGTGAGCTTCTTACATTAGGAAATATATAAAAAGGAAAACCGCATAAAAGTGAAATATGGAATAATAATGAAGTCAAACAAATTAGAAAGGACATCAGGGACAAAGATTAATGAATTCCTAGCTGATTCGGAGCCTGAGGAACCTCAGGCTACAGAATCATCATGCAGACTAAGTGTCAAACCCAGTAGAACACACAGTGAGTGAGGGCTGTGGACAAGAGAGGCTTAGGAACAACACACTCACAGGATGTTCATGTCTATTAGACTTTAATTATAAAGGGACTTTAAAAAAATCACAATGCCTGGGCGGTGCCTGTGGCTCACTCAGTGAGTCGGGTGCTGGCACCATGTATCGGGGGTGGCAGACTTGAACCCACCCCTGGCCAAACTGCAACAAAAAATAGCTAGGCATTGTGGTGGGCACCTGTAGTCCCAGCTACTTGGGAGGCTGAGGCAAGAGAATTGCTAAAGCCTAAGAGCTGGAGGTCGCTGTGAGCTGTGATGCCACAGCATTCTATCGAAGGCGTCTCAAAAAGAAAAAAAAAATCCCAATGCCTTTGAGATAAACTGGAGTGTTCCTACCCTCCTTGGAGTGGAGGATGGGACACCACCTGAAACCTGAAGTCTGGTGACATGCAAAGGGGAGAACTTAATTACTTTCCCTTCCCTGAATACAAATCTCTCCTGTTCAGGAGCTTAAATAGCCTCCTGGGCTCCTGGAAAATCTCTACAACACTTGGAAGGGTACAGAAAGCCCCAGGAAAGGAAGAAGAGCAAAAACAACCCTGAGAACATCCACTGATACCGGCACGTACTGAGGCAGAGCAGCTGGTATCTAGGGTGAGCTGCAAGAAATTCTTCATTTGGTCTGTTTTTGTCTGGATCCTGATGTCCACCAGCCTTTCTCCATTCATTTCCAAAAGTCTTTCTGTAATCAAGCTCAGCTCCATGCCTTTCTTCGGGTAGAATCTGTGTTGGTGTGAGATAAAAACATTTTTCTGACACATCCTTTGTGTTCTACCGCCTGTCCTCCACTGCCCATGCACAGAGAATAATCAAATTGAGAGGGATAAGAGAATCTTCATCATACTTTGCACCTTTCTTTAGCACTGACAGAACGCAGGTGTTTATTCAAAAGGAAAAAAGAATCTCGGTTTTATATTTTTCTTCATGAAACTAATTTGCCCATAAGCCAGTTTCAGCACTATGCCAGGTGCTAGGGTCACTTGCCAGAGCTTGGCCTGGAGGGCGTGCCCTCCCTGGAGGAGCCGACTGGCTCCAAGTAAATGCAGGACAGTTTCCCTGCAGCAAGGCGCTTCCCTCCCACTTCCCAGGGAAGCAGCTACGTAAGAGAAATACGCTTTGTGGTTCTGTCTTCTTTCTGCCCACATTCCCCCCAAGAAAATGAGAGTACCTAGTATTCATCACCCCTCCTCAGATGGTAATAAGCCAGGCTAGGGCAGTAGAGCAACAGGCTTCTGCACTGATCTGAGAGTACTGCTCTCTGCTGAAGAGTCCGAAAAGAACATTACTACTGAATGCACAACCACAGTAGTTCACCATTGGAAAGAAAGGTGCATCTCATATCCTATTTTGGTTCTTTTTTTTTTTTTTTTAACATTTATTTAAAAGGGTCCTACAGCTTTATAACCACAGCGCTAGAAGTGGCCCTGGACAGTGGCAGTGGGCCCAGCCTGGCAGCCCTCACAGTATCAACCCCAACCTTGTGTCTGGCCAAGGCCCCTCCTGGGCTGCAAATGTCCCCAGTAGCAGGTGGACAGCAGAGATATTGAAGGTAGGTGGCACCACTTCCTCTAGATTCACAGAACATGGCAAGCTGAGAGGTGCAGCAGAGAATCCTCCTTTACAGTTCTGTTTTCTTTTAAGCACACAGTACAGTACAGTTAAAATCCAGAAGCAGCAGTACACAGTAATTGTGGACAAAATTTGGTGGCCTGCTCTGTGGGCCACTGGAACAGACCCTGTTTCAGCTCTGGCTTGATCTGTTACTGTGGTAGCAGCCAGCTGACAACTGGTCACAGGTTGGACCCTGGCTGCCAGAGGTGACAAGACAAGAACTGGGCCAGAAGTTCCACCAACGAGCACATGAGCCTTGTCAACAGGTACGTGGTGCTGCTTCCCCGGCTGGGACCTGGGAGTCAGCACACAGGGCACACGGACAGAGATCTCAGAGGGAAGGGAAAAGGCGATGCAGGTGGCCAGAAACCTCTTCTGACACGCCCTTGATCCTGCAAGTGGGCTTTTTCCAAACCCTACTGCCTCCCCTGTCTGACACTGACAGTACTACTAGGCCCTGGCCCAGCCACCAGCCAGGAGAGTCAGGGAATATTATTGGCTAAGAGAATCCTGGTTCAAGGTGGCCAGACTTTTCTTTGACCTGTAGTGAAACAATGAACTTGAACAAGCCCTTCTGAGAATGCTGAGCACCAGGGGCTGTGCCCAGCCCCTCGCGGGTGTCTGAGTCCTGGCACCTGGTGAAGCTAAGGTCCAGCAGGGCCCTGGCAAGTGTGACCATGCACTGCCTGCACAAAAGGAAACTGCATTCACTTCATCTCATTTCCTGCATTTCTATCTGCTCAAAACGGTATTTGTTGTTTGTTTTTTGAGACAGTCTTATGCTGTTGCCGTGGCTTCATAGCTCACAACAACCTCCAATTCTTGGGCTCAATAGATCCTCTTGCCACAGTTTTTCTATTATTAGTAGAGATGGGGTCTTGCTTTTTGCTCAGGCTGGTCTTGAACTCGTGAGCTTAAGCAATCCCCCCGCCTCAGCCTCCCAGAGTGCTAGGATTACAGCAATATTTGCTTTTTATAAAATTTCCCTGAATGGTCTTGGGACTGTCAAAAGAGATTTCTTTCCTAACATAAAACAGGAAAATCACACAGGTAGTAAAATTATTGGGGGAGTTTTTCTTCAAAGTAACCCTTAGGGGCTGGCTCTAGGCAGGGGGAGCTAGCATCCTGTGCAAAGTCCAGTCTGCAGGCCTCCTCGAGCCTGGGCCACAGTTCTCCCAGCCTCTGAACATGGCAGCTGACCAAGTACAAACTTTGCTTGTGGCTTTGAGGCATGAGAAACGCCAGGTAGAGAAGAGGGATGGCTTCCAGATTCTAGGAACACAATGCAGCTGCACATTGTGGCCCAGCCACAGGCCAACACTGAGCACCTTTTACCAGGTCTACAGGGCCAGTGGGCCAAGGCACACAGAACTGTCCTTTGGAAATAAAACAAGATCATTAACCATGTTTTATAAATAAAGCTGCAATGAGAGACCATAATTCTGAATGGAAATGGGACAGACTTTGTTTCTTTTTCATCAACAACACAACACTCTTGGGCTTGACGCCCGTAGCACAGTGGTTACGGCACCAGCCACATACACCAAGGGTGGCAGGATCGACCCTGTCCCGGGCCAGCTAAACAACAATGGCAACTGCAACAAAAAACAGCCAGGCGTTGTGGCTGGCACCTATAGTCCCAAATTGGGAGGCTTAGGCAAGAGAATCGCTTAAGCCCAAGAGTTTGAGGTTGCTGTGAGCTGTAATGCCATGGTACTCTAGAGGGTGACATAGTGAGACTCTGTCTCAAAAAACACTCAGAAATCATGCCGAGAATGCAAACCAATGCAACCCAGGAGTGCCAGGCACACAACTGCCTCGGGGTACAAAACCTAGGCTCCTACCCTACTTCACCCACTGACACACAGTTCTAAAATTGGACAAGCTGGCCCAGGACACCAGAGCATAGCAGCCAGACCTCACAGCTACATGGGTGGAAAGTATCTCCCAGGAAGCCTGAGGCCAGCACTGGAGGATGAAGCCCAGATGGTACAGAGGCAGCCGGGATGGGGGTCTCTAGGGCAGAGCTGGCGAGAATGGTGACACAAACTGTGCAGAGAATCCTTGCTGAGGCAGGAGGCCCGCTCCAAGGGCAGGGGTGGATACTAATCCTGGGTAGGGCAAGGCCTGTCCAGTGGTGGTGGCAGGGGATGTCCAGGCATGACTGACGGAGGCCCGCTGGCTTCTGGGGCAGCAGATGTGGGCTGGGGTGCCTTGGGAGTCAGTGGGGCTGGAGCCTGTGGGAGTCCCTGTCCCTTCAGCACCATCTCCTAGAGCGTCTTGGTTTTCACTTAGCATGTGGGCCAGTTTCTGTTTGTACTGACAGGCATCAAAGGAGTCTAGAGGAAGCTGGCCATCCAGAAACTTCTCTGCCATGTTCTCAGTGTCTTCCTCAATCCTGGTCCCTTCTGCTTGAAGAAGAGCTAACTGGGTCTCCATGGAAGCTGCTAGACTATTTGTCAAATTTGAATTTGGTCTTCTTTATCTGATAGGCTTCAAAGAGAACCTAGAGCACTGGTACTTCTGGGTCAAATGTGCTTTCAGTGTGCAGCTGGGGCTGGTCCAAAAGGTTTCCTTCTGCCAGGCTCCCGTTGCCGGCAGCGTCTTTGTTGTTAAGCTGAATGCTCTGCGTCTCCTGCATCTTCTGCACCATCTTGGTCAGCTGCCCCCCGTCCTCCAGCAGCTTGCTGGGCTGCACCAGTGACAGCCCTGCGAACTGGGCTTTGCTCCCCACACCCGCCATCCCCGTGGCTCCGCCATCTCATATCCTTTCCAACAGCAACTTTCTTTTTACACTTTTTGATCATTTATTTTCTAGCTTAAAAAAGACCCAGTCAGGACACTAGCGCTCACCTCACATTTGTTCAGGGTCTTCAGCTGCCCGATCTTGGCGATGATGAGCTGCCGCGTGGTCTGCGCTGTTCTCTCTCCCTCCATCAGGGGGTTTCTTATGCAGGACAAAGCGTGCAGATGTGGCAACTTGTCTAGCTCATTGATGAATGACCACTGAAATACAGTGGATGGAAATAAATGAAAAGAAACAGGCTTTCAGACTCCTTTTCCATATTTGAACCAGTAATAGAAAAGCAAAGTCCCTAGTTCGGATCTAAGGCAGAGAATTTTGTCATGCACTGAGCTCCCCACTCTAGGAAAACCACACACTTTTACTCTATAACTGACATTTCAAATGACGCTTTGCTTAAATCTGAAACTAATTTCTTTCTTTTTTTTGGAGACACAGTCTTACTATGTCACCCTTGCCAGAGTGCCGTGGCATCACAGCTCACAGCAACCTCAAACTCTTGGGCTTAAGTGATTCTCTTGCCTAAGTCTCCCAAGTACCTGGGACTACAGGCGCCTGTCACAACACCCAGCTATTCTTTTTGTTGCAGTTGTTGTTGTTTGGCAGGCTTGGGCTGAGTTTGAACCCACCAGACCCAGTGTATGTGGCCAGCACCCTAGCTGCTAAGCTATAGGTTCCAAGCCAAACTAATCTCTTTCTTATTATTTTTTACTTTATATGAGGCATTTCACTCTGAGGAAGAATTTCTCGTTCAATTAAAAAAAAAATTTTTAGGTTGGCGCCTGTGGCTCAAGCAGCTAAGGCGCCAGCCACATACACCTAAGGTGGCAGGTTCGAATCCCCAGCCCGGGCCCGCCAAACAACAATGATGGTTGCAACCAAAAAATAGCCAGGCATTGTGGCAGGCGCCTGTAGTCCCAGCTCCTTGGGAGGCTGAGGCAGGAGACTCACTTGAGCCCAGGAGTTGGAGGTTGCCGTGAGCAGTGATACTATGGCACTCTACCCAGGGGGACAGCTTGAGGCTCTGCCTCAAAAAAAAAAAAATTTTTTTTTTTAATATAAATAAGAGCCTACAAACACCACCACAAGAGCAGAAATCAGCGATAATGTGCTGGGCACACTCTGAAGAAACTCTTACTTGTGATATCTGATTGTCATTTACTATAAGGTACTGCAAGGCTGGGAACATGGACGTTTTGCATCCTAGAAAAGAGAATTAAGTTACACCATGTAAGTGAAATAGGGTAAACTAGAGGGGCGAGGAAACCTTACTAATCTCACATACCAATTCCAGCATCTGGAAAATGTATAGAAGAAATTCCAATGTCAGAAAGAATTAGTTGTTCTAATCTGAAATTAAAAATATTAAATGTTATGACATAGTACAGTACAAAATGATATGGGCCATCAACCAGACTAGGTTCGTAAGTTTTCTGCTTATACCTGGGTTTCCATTCCATATAAAATATTTAGAAACCATAAAGTTCAATTTAAGGCATGTAAAGTGGACTCTGCGATGTTTATTTCTACAGACTATCTAACAGCTCTTATGCTGCTAGGTCAGGGCCGCAGGGGAAAGAGACATGGTCTAACTGTCCAAAGTAACATATCAAGACTTTCAGCATTATCACTAAATTATGTATCAAATGATCTAATACAGTCATAGCCCCATTGTGTAAGGTTCACAAGTACATTCTTTAAATTAATTAAAATTCTCCAAAGTTCATTACTCACTTTAGGAATTCTATATTTCTTTTTTTTTTTTTTGAGACAGAGTCTTACTGTGTTGCCCTTGGTAGAGTGCTGTGACATCACAGCTCACAGCAACTTCAAACTCTTGGGCTTAAGCAATTCTCTTGCCCCAGCCTCCGGAGGGGCTGGGACTATAGGCATCCACCACAACGCCCAGCTATTTTTTGTTGCAGTTGTGATTGTTGTTTAGCAGGCCCGGGCCGGGCTCAAACCCACCGGCCGCGTTGTATGTGGCCAGCATCTCACTGAGCTACAGGGACCAAGCCTCCATCATATTTCTACTGACAAAGTATATACAGCATATGAAAATTCATTCACTAAAAACTTACTAAGCACTTACTGAAACAGCTATTTAGGAGCAAATTACCTGGGCAGATACGCTATCAGAAAGAGCTGATTTTCATCAATTGATTTATTAGAAGAAAGGTCTAACAATTTGACAGTCTGTAGAACATCAGTTGGCCTAAATGGAAAATAAAATTAACCTCTTAATTATTTTCAGAGATACGGCCTTCAAACACCTGCATTTGGTATGATGAAGGGCTGGGGGTGAAAGGCAAGGGGATATGGATACAAAAGGGCAAACGGAGGCCCCTGGTGGAAATGGGAATCTATTCCTGAGTGTGTCTGTGTCCTGCTCGTGACACCGTCCCAGGGTTTTGTAACTCGTTACCAATGGGGGAAACTGAGTAACGGGTACAAGTGATCTCTGTATTACCTCCTATAATTGCAAGTGAATCCACAATTACTTCAGAATAAAAATTTAAAACATCTGCATTTGCTTGAATAATAACGAAACTATTCTGTACAATAAATTTGTACTAATTCCAATCTTTCAGTTGAGACTTCGTTGTAAGTTATCTCATGTTTAAGTCTGTTTTACACAAAGAGGGAGACAAGCAACAACATACTGAATTTGTCTAAGAGTGAGCGTGACACAGACTTTAGTAAACTGACCTTAAATAGTTAATGCTAATTAAAAATGCATTGTTTAATCCTTATAACATGACCTACATGACTTTCATTTAGAAACAGCAAATATATTTACACAAAACTAATAAAATTCATGTCTTCACAAATATTTAATTCTGATTGCATTCCCCCTGATTAAAACCAATTAGTGAAGTTTTAGTTGACATTCTAATTCATGAGGGCAATGAATAATAAACATCTTTTCTAATTCTTGTTTACAAATCCTTATAAAATTAGTGTTAGACATAATTAAGATCACTTATTTACTCAGAATGACTAAACAGTTATAGATGCATTTAAGTAAACCCTTGTTACCTTTCTGAAATGATAATATTATTAGACTCAAGGTGTAGTTCCTCAAGAACTGGGCACCCAGAGACACACCGGAGCACCTAGAAGGGAAACTCAGTTCAGAGTTAGGCACCTCTGTAGGGTGGCTCTTCCCACGCAGCCATCACCGTAACCTCCACTGGAATTCAGCTCAGTGACTGTGTCAGAAATAAAGTGCCTCACACACAGCTCATGCAGACTATCTTTCGGGCCTGGAGTGGTGGTGAAGGGTAATAAATTAAAATGCAGAAGGGCTGTGTTTTAACGCCGTGGGAGCACATACTTTTGGTACTCTGAACCCGTCAAAGTTAATGTCAATGCAGGGTTTGGGTAAGACTGGGGATGCTGACTGAGCAGACTATTATTCAAGAGAGTTTGTTCAACCAAAAGAGGGAAACTGATGTTAAATACCTTTCCTCATTTCTAGATGCCAATCTAGGCTTGTAAAGAACATGCTAATTAGACAAAATATCACTATTATTATTAAGAGACAGGGTCTCACTCTGTCACCCAAGCTGGATTGCAGTGGCATGATCACAGTTCACTGCAGCCTCAAGTTCCTGGGCTCAAGTGATCCTCCCGCATTAGCCTCTCAAGTAGCTGAGACTACAAGCATGTGCCACCATGCCCAGCTAATTTTTTTCACTTTTCGACAGATGGGATCTTGCTGTGTTGCCCAGGCTAGTCTCAAACTCTGGGCTCCAGCAAGCCTATCTCAGCCTCCCAAAGTGCTAGGATGACAGGGCTATCACGCCCAGCCTACCACCTGAGTTTCTACCTGCCCTTTCTATGTTAAGGCTAACTCTATACCTGAAGGGGGAGTAGGTACTTCATAAATAAAGAGCCCTAGAAATGAAGTCCCATGGCCATGGGCATATTAAAAGGGCATAAGTTAAAGGGAAACCTGTCTCTCTCCCCCTGCTTCTGTGGCATTTCATGGATGAACATGGCTGGGAATGTATTCCTATGTGCTTGGTTTGAAAATGGAATACTCAGCGTATGTGAAGTCAGTAAACCAGCACCAGACATAGGTCCCAAGTGCTGCTGTGCCAAGGACCCAGGAGTCCAGTGTTGAGCCCAGCTGTATCAACAGTGGAGATGAACCTCACGCAAGATAAGAATGTGAAAAGACCGAGTGTGGTGGCTCACACTTGTAATCCTAGCACTCTTGAAGGCCAAGGAGGGAAGATTGCTTAAGCTCAGAAGTTCAAAACCAGCCTGAGCAAGAGAGAGACACTGTCTCTAAAAAAATAGCTGGGTGCTGTGGTAGGTAACCTGTAGTCCCAGCTACTTGGGAGGCTGAGGCAAGAGAATCACTTAAGCCCAAGAGTTTGAAGTTGCTGTGGGGCTCAAACCCACCGGCCGCGTTGTATGTGGCCA